TCTCTAACAGTTTCATAAACATTTCATTTGTATGCAAAAGAAATGCCTTCGTTAAATCTTTTAATGTCATCATCGAAGCAGTCAGGGTTGCGACCCCTAGAACGCCCCAAACATCCGATATCAAACTACCGTATTTCCTCTATTTGACACTATACGCCGTCTATTAATTTCGCGAGAGCCCCCGACTCGGCGTGTATTAGAGACCTGTCTGGTATTAGAGACCCAGCGTGTATTAGAGGAAATATAGATATGTTTTACAGTTCATATGGGGGTGATCGATCGGCAGCCATATAGGCTATCTATGTATTCATACGCACGTTTTTGGTGTGAAAAGGCTTAATATATTTGAAAGGGGTTTCCGTAGCAAAAAGGAAACCTCTTTTTAACCAATCAGAATCAAGCATTCATCAATGTCATGGTAGAATTAAAAGTGAACTGCACTTTGGGGCATATGGCCTTGCAAATTGAATAAACTGTCTGTCTGTCACAACAAGTACCTATGTTCTGACAGGATTATATGCTGTATTGATGTTATTGAGTGTTGCATGATATTGACATTGCTGCATGCCTGTAACAAACTTTCACACAGCTTCAGTTAGTTCTGTACTTTCTATTGTTTGGGGTTCCTGCAAGACAACAGAAACAAAATACAATGATGTGTATAAAGAATACAAGATCACATGGACACAACAGAACCCAGGGAAATGTCACATCACTGCTGGGTACATGGCGGAGACGCTACAGACAAAGCATGTAGAATCAGGGGTGTCTGGGGAACTTGATAAAGTGAATGTGTAACTGCTATATATTATAATGTCATCCCAGGAGCACGTGACACTGACATTAGTGAGTAAGTTGGGTTTAACGCCACTTTTAACTGTGATCCAATTATATCGATGAAACCCACGAGCACGAGTATGGTGCTGACAAACCTAGAAACATAATCGGGGCGAACCGGAATTCGAACCCACAATCATAGGTTTCTGGCTTGCTCAAGGAACGCAACTCTGCACAGCGAATCGCGGCGCCTTAGACGACTTGGCCACCCGTGCCCCCGACATTGACATTAAATACGTACCCGAGGTGTATAAGTACATTTCTCTTTTACGTTCTTGGGCAGACACGGAAAGAGCGTTCTGACGATTGGGAAGATCAGTTTAGGGTCCACGTTAACGTTCTTCCCATAACCTGTGGACGAAAGGGCGGCTCAAAAAAGGCAATAGGTACCAAGCAACTGTTCATCATTTCTATCAGTGACACAAGTAATCGAATGTGCATTATTGAAATATTTTGACAACCTATCACACTTCACGTCATTTACTACATCATACATCATGTAATCTTTATCTGTTTATGAATCTTTTAAACATTTTACAGTGTAGTACATTTGTACACAGTATAGTACATCTGTACAAAGTATAGTACATCTGTACACAGTATAGTACATTTGTACACAGTAGAGTACATCTGTACAGGGTATAGTACATCTGTACACAGTATAGTACATCTGTACAGAGTATAGTACATCTGTACAGAGTGAAGTACATCTGTACACAGTATAGTACATTTGTACACAATATAGTACATTTGTACACAGTATAGTACATCTGTACACAGTATAGTACATCTGTACAGAGTATAGTACATCTGTACACAGTATAGTACATCTGTACACAGTATAGTACATCTGTACAGAGTATAGTATATCTTTACAGAGTATAGTACATCTGTACACAGTATAGTACATCTGTACACAGTATAGTACATCTGTACACAGTATAGTACATTTGTACACAGTAGAGTACATCTGTACAGGGTATAGTACATCTGTACACAGTATAGTACATCTGTACAGAGTATAGTACATCTGTACAGAGTGAAGTACATCTGTACACAGTATAGTACATTTGTACACAATATAGTACATTTGTACACAGTATAGTACATCTGTACACAGTATAGTACATCTGTACAGAGTATAGTACATCTGTACACAGTATAGTACATCTGTACACAGTATAGTACATCTGTACAGAGTATAGTACATCTTTACAGAGTATAGTACATCTGTACACAGTATAGTACATCTGTACAGAGTATAGTACATCTGTACACAGTATAGTACATCTGTACAGAGTATAGTACATCTGTACAGTATAGTAAGCACATTTGTACACAGTATAGTGTATCTGTACACAGTATAGTACATCTGTACAGAGTATAGTACATCTGTACAGTATAGTAAGCACATTTGTACACAGTATAGTGTATCTGTACACAGTATAGTACATCTGTACAGAGTATAGTACATCTGTACAGTATAGTAAGCACATTTGTACACAGTATAGTGTATCTGTACACAGTATAGTGCATCTGTACACAGTATAGTACATCTGTACACAGTATAGTGTATCTGTACACAGTATAGTGTATCTGTACACAGTATAGTACATCTGTACACAGTATAGTGTATCTGTACACAGTATAGTGTATCTGTACACAGTATAGTACATCTGTACACAGTATAGTGTATCTGTACACAGTATAGTACATCTGTACACAGTATAGTGCATCTGTACACAGTATAGTACATCTGTACACTGGGTATGTATTGTCTATCCAGACAAGCTGGAGGTAAAGTACACATTGAGAATTCAAATGGTGCACTACAGTTAAAATCATGATATTAATACTATATACGTGATTGTTTTTATATTTGATTGGAATGTGTGCTACATAAGTGACTAGTTTACGGTTTGTATCTAAAGTCATATGCAAACATATTCCCGTTTTTATTATTCGCCTTCAACTCCGTAACAAGAAACATAATGGTGAACATGTCATGGCAGCAGCATCATGTGCTGTGTAAGTGTTACCTGGACTGTGAGAGATGTGTTACCTGTGATGAGACTGTGGTGTTACCTGTGATGAGACTGTGTTGTTACCTGGACTGTGAGAGATGAGTTACCTGTGATGAGACTGTGGTGTTACCTGTGATGAGACTGTGGTGTTACCTGGACTGTGAGAGATGTGTTACCTGTGATGAGACTGTGGTGTTACCTGGACAGTGAGAGATGTGTTACCTGTGATGAGACTGTGGTGTTCCCTGGACAGTGAGTGATGTGTTACCTGTGATGAGACTGTGTTGTTACCTGTGATGAGACTGTATTGTTACCTGGACTGTGAGAAATGAGTTACCTGTGGTGAGACTGTGGTGTTACCTGTGATGAGACTGTGATGTTACCTGGACTGTGAGAGATGTGTTACCTGTAATGAGGCTGTGGCGTTACCTGTGATGAGACTGTGATGTTACCTGGACTGTGAGAGATGTGTTACATGTAATGAGGCTGTGGCGTTACCTGTGATGAGACTGCAATGTTACCTGTGATGAGACTGTGGGGTTACCTCGACTGTGAAAGATGTGTTACCTGTGATAGGACTGTGGTGTTACCTGTGATGAGACTGTGGTGTTACCTGTGATGAGACTGATTTGTTACCTGGAAGTTACCTGTGATGAGATTAAAGATACCTGTGATGAGATTAAACAGTTAATTACTTGTGATGAGACTTATAGTGTTACCTGTGATGAGATTAAGGAGTTACCTGTGATGAGATTAAGGAGTTACCTGTGATGAGACTGTGATCTTACCTGTGATGAGACTGTGTTGTTATCTGGAATGTTGGTGATGTGAAACCTGTGATGAGACTGTGGTGTTACCTGTGATAACATTGGGGTGTTACCTGGGATGAGACTGTAGTGTTACCTGTGATGAGACTGTGGTGTTACCTGTGATGAGACTGTGGTGTTACCTGTGATGAGACTGTGGTGTTACCTGTGATGAGACTGTGGTGTTACCTGTGATGTGAGCGATTTGTAACCTGGAATGTGAGAGATGTGTTACCTGTGACGAGATTGTGGTGTTACCTTTGTTGAGATTGATTTGTTACCTTGAATGTGAGAGATGTGTTACCTGTGATGAGACATCGTCTTACCTGTGATGAGACTGTGGTGTTACCTGTGATGAGACTGTGGTGTTACCTGTGATGAGACTGTGGTGTTACCTGAAATGTGAGTGATGTGTTATATGTCATGAGACTGTGGTGTTACCTGTGATGAGACTGATTTGTTACCTTATATGTAAGTGATGTGTTATCGGTGAGGAGACTGTGGTGTTACATGTGATGAGATATAGGAGTCACCTGTGATGAGATTTAAGAGTTAACTATGATGAGACTGTGATGTTACCTGTGATGAGATTTTAGAATTATCTGCGTTGAGATTGGTGTGTTACCTGTGATGAGATTGAGGAGTTACCTGTGATGAGACTGTGGTGTTACCTGTGATGAGATTGAGAAGTTACCTGTGATGAGATTGAGGAGTTACCTGTGATGAGATTGAGGAGTTACCTGTGATGAGATTAAGGAGTTACCTGTGATAAGACTGACGGTGTTACCTGTGATGGGATTAAACAGTTAATTACCTGTGATGAGACTTATAGTGTTACATGTGATGAGATTTAAGAGACTGTGATGTTACCTGTGATGAGATTAAGGAGTTACCTGTGATGAGATTAAGGAGTTACCTGTGATGAGATTAAGGAGTTACCTGTGATGAGACTAACGGTGATGCCGACAACCACGTTGATGAAGGCCCCTGTGGCTGAGTAGTAGAGAAACGACAAGCGGTAGATAGCAAGAGTGTCGTCCCTGGAAGTATACGTTCACGAGGCTTCATTTCTTAATACATCAGAACGTACCTTACGTCAAGTTATTGTGTTCATGAAGAAACGTTTGCTGATTTAAAGGCTAACATTCCTGTGTAAAAGCACAGCACTGTTTCAGTGGGATGACTTGTTTTTGAAGCTATATTTAAGACTATGAAAGTGTTGGACAAATAAGTATGATCAGTAACTTAAGAGTCGAGACAGGACGTGCCTTCATTCTCTCGGCCTCATATAGTCACGCAGTATTTGAAACCACAAGAGTACATGAACATTAACCTACTGTTCGGCAGTATTGTTGGCAACCAGTGTTGGTGTCGTGGGCATGGTGGAGTTGGTAGCGTTCCAGTTGCAGCCTTGTACAGAGAACTGCGACAGTGGCGAGGTGATGTCGTGGATGAAGGCCCCAACTGCGATCCACAACATGACGGTGATGCCCGAGATGTAGCCGCACAGGGCGCCCTGCAATTGGTAAACATGTGACACTAATCATTTACCTCAGCACATATATGGAGAATAGAGAATTGCACGGAATAATGACACGACACGTATTGTAACCCTACATATGTCAGTATTATCTCCCTGAAGATGAAACATAGTGTAAGCGTTGTGTTTGCATAGCAAAGTTAGTTTCCGTTTCCATGACACCCCTTGTCAATATAATATCCACTTTCAAAGTGCATTGAAAGATTTTCGTCGAAAACAACTATATCAATGTTCTTGATGTGCATTAAACGTGCGGTCAGTACATAGACGATGTATTATTACATGTGGGTCATCAATGAGAAGGGGGCACGGGTGGCCCAGTCGTCTAAGGCGCCGCGATTCGCTGTGCAGAGTTGCGTCCCTTAGGGACGCCAGAAACCTATGATTGTGGGTTCGAATCCCGGTTCGCCCCGATTATGTTTCTAGGTTTGTCAGCACCATACCCGTGCTCGTGGGTTTCACCGAAGTGGTAAACGTCTGAGACCTGCATCACTTCGGGCTTTCCTCCCACATTAAGCTGACACGCCGCGACATAACTGGAATACTGTTAAAAGCGGCGTTAAACCCAACTCACTCACTCACTCATCAATGAGAACTTTGTCAGAAAGTGAACACAGCATGATCAAACGTTGTTCATCTTATACATGGTGGCATAGCGTTCTATTGTTAGTGTCAGTATTGAAAGTGTTCTGTGAAAAAGTTAATAAATAACGTTATTGCTACAAAGGTGTGATGACTCACCCAGTGATTGGCACAAGGGAAGAACATCCCAAGTATGAAGACCCCGAACGCTGGTCCATCAATGACATTGGTGATGTAGGACAACTGTGCAATGTGACACACATGGAATCATCCGTTAAATGACGCATTTCCACAAAGAGGACAATAGCATATACACTTCCTTACTCTAAGTAAATCAAGTGTCAACATCATCGCGTTATTGTCAATGGACAAAGAATCAGAAGCTTAACTTCCGTTGTGCAAGGTTTCTCATATACAGAGATAAAGTTATTCTTATTAGCAAACGTGATATAGTTGACAGGTACTTATTTCTTTTGTAGGTTAGAATGCACGACAACAAAACATGATATTGGTTTGTCAATACTGGCCAAACCAATGGGAAGCCATTTGGGCATTTCACTCTGTAAGATTTATTTGAAACTCATGTATGAACGTTATTCATACATGCGGATATTTTGTGCTGGACATCGAAAAGGGGTAGTGTGCCATATAGTGCTTAAGGACGCAGTGATCCACCGTTTTTATGATTCTTAACCATTGCTTTAAAAAAATCAGAATGAACATGCATTGGCTATTGACCACCTGCACCATAATTCTTGACATTATTTTTGTATGCCATTGAGTGTACTTTTTAGATAACATTATATCATGGGCTAGCTGGATAAAGATGTTTGTATATATTCAAGCTTGCTCATAAGAACGAAACATAAATGTATGATGTATGGTAATATTGATATAGTGTATCTATAATGTCATAATACACGCGCTGCTAGAAATATAATTCAGTAATCTTGGACACGGACTAACGCACTGACCCGCATTATTTGCATGGAGGCTTTGATGTATATATGACATGTGGTGCATATAGATAGGGTTAAAACTAGGGGCAGAAAAGTAAACATCATTGAATATTGTAAAACCAGAGCGCTTTGAGTAAAAGATAATAATGCTGATTTTTCACGAGGCCTGGTATTATTTCTGGATAAACAATCCATTATAGCACATACTCTATACTGTACGTTTCAGGCCTGACATCGAAGGAATTGCCTAGCAGTGATTCTTTTTAATTTCGAACATTTCATGACGTCACAGAGGTATATTCACAAATTTTGAGTCAATTCAAGCCACAAGTGAGAAGAAAAATAAGCTTGGAAAATGGACAAACTTGAGGGTCGTGCAGTGTTGAAGTACTTAAAACCTTGTTACATTGGTGGGCTATGTGCGTGCGGTATTTGTATATACCTCAAGCAAGTTATTTATTCCTGAAGCAAGAAACGCTATCCCAATGCACAGAGCTCCACATGTTACAGCTGAAAGCAGACAATATAAAATGTTCATAGTACACTGATATCTTTTCTGACATATTTAATCCCGGGCCGGGTTGGTAACAGTATCTCCTGAAAGTACATACCACATACATTCTTTTGTTAAGTGACAACTCAATACTTCCAGCAAATCGTACCTCTTGATCAACCCAGGGGATTCCAAACTGTTTAATCACAAGACAACTCTCTCATACGACTCTTGCTCAGAAGTTATTTGATCAAGATGCCCACACTCAAGGCCCAGACAAAGCAGTAAACATGTGGAGGTCATTTACAACACATATTCATGATATAATTGTACTATCGGCTCTGCAGAAATTTCTATTGAATATGGAAAGGGTTTTGTCGCTTTTATTTACGCAAAGCAATGTTTCTTCCTACAATGATTTTATTCTGGTACAATGATAATATCGCCCGTACCACACAGGTGACTGGTTATCAGCATGGACTATATCAATCACTTCTACACAAACCTGCATTGGAATCGGATGGTCAGCAGTATTGTCTCGACTGCAATGTCAGCCCCGACTAGGGGCCATAGACGTGGTTATGTCTCCATAATGCTTGCTTGAGCGTTTTTTTGTTTATGATCACTGAATCTTCAAAATAATTTAATGGATTACACTCTGTCATGAATGACCTATGACCTACTTGTAACCTTGGTGATGACAGAAGCTGTGAAGTTGTTGATGTTACAGCTGCAGAAAGGTCGGATGTAGTCCTGTAGAACCACCGCGGACACGGCATTCATCCCGGAAGAGAGGGTGCTGGAAGAGATGACTATGTTACATTCATCCTGGATGAGAGGGTGCTGGAAGAGATGACTATGTTACATTCATCCTGGAATAATTTTTTAATTTGAAGTTTACACGATATTAGGCTTTTCCATTGGACGAGAGGTCGGTCACATGACCGCAAAATTGACGTTCATAACTGTATGAACGACACAATTTGACGTTCAAATGTTTTTCACGAGACTGTGTTCTTGAAATGACGTAAACACTGACGGACTACTTCCACATTCCTGGGGAAACCCCTGGGAATTCCCTAGCAAGAAAACATGCATAAGCGTTCTTTCTGATCATTTAGAACCTTTATTCTTGGTCTCAGCGTTTCAGTATACATTGAGAAATGTCAGAGAGCGTGACTGCATGATTGTTCACGAATATCCTCGCTACCGCCCATCCTAATGAACAAACGAAGAAATGCACATCTAAACTATCGTAGTATCGACTCGATCCGTGCCTAGGCTGACATTGACCGTCTCCAGCAATCTATGAATTTACCTTTGTGTCTGTTTGACGCATCTTTATTCACCTTTCAATGATCGGTCATTTGATCAATGATGATTTACACATGTAACCGCCACAGGTTCATTAACAACTTCGGAAATCTCTCCCGTCACGTTTATCGTGTCGGCCAATTTGACGTCTTGTACTTGATGTAAATGTATTACGACGCGCTGTCATTGTGACTGACTTACTGAGGTAGTTCTTTACAGACCTTTCTCATCTAATGAGGATGTGATTTGAACACATGTGCTGCGTAAGGTGTTTCTGAAGAACAAGTTGTGCATCCATACGCCCATGTCACCTCTCTTTTTGAGGAACTATTTTACTCCGCGATATAGCTGGTTGTTGAATGGCTGTCAGTGTAAACATGAAGTCACACGTACTAAATATAATTGTGTTTAGATCTTGGCCTACATACTTTCAGGTAAGAAATTGTGATAAAAAGATTATAAGAAATTGACTTTCGCAAGCTCCGTCGTTCATACAGTTTGGCCCTCACTCTATGAAGGTTCATACTCCAATGAACTCACACAAAGTGAAGGTCAATTTTTAAAGAGAGGGTGCTGAAGAGATGACTATGTTACATTCATCCCGGATGAGAGGGTGCTGGAAGAGATGACTATGTTACATTCATCCCGGAAGAGAGGGTGCTGGAAGAGATGACTATGTTACATTCATCCCGGATGAGAGGGTGCTGGAAGAGATGACTATGTTACATTCATCCCGGAAGAGAGGGTGCTGGAAGAGATGACTATGTTACATTCATCCCGGATGAGAGGTTGCTGGAAGAGATGACTATGTTACATTCATCCCGGAAGAGAGGGTGCTGGAAGAGATGACTATGTTACATTCATCCCGGAAGAGAGGGTGCTGGAAGAGATGACTATGTTACATTCATCCCGGAAGAGAGGTTGCTGGAAGAGATGACTATGTTACATTCATCCAGGAAGAGAGGGTGCTGGAAGAGATGACTATGTTACATTCATCCCGGAAGAGAGGTTGCTGGAAGATATGACTATGTTACATTCATCCTGGATGAGAGGGTGCTGGAAGCGATGACTATGTTACATTCATCCCGGAAGAGAGGGTGCTGGAAGAGATGACTATGTTACATTCATCCCGGATGAGAGGGTGCTGGAAGAGATGACTATGTTACATTCATCCCGGATGAGAGGGTGCTGGAAGCGATGACTATGTTACATGCATCCCGGATGAGAGGGTGCTGGAAGCGATGACTATGTTATATTCATCCCGGATGAGAGGGTGCTGGAAGCGATGACTATGTTACATTCATCCCGGATGAGAGGGTGCTGGAAGAGATGACTATGTTACATTCATCCTGGATGAGAGGGTGCTGGAAGAGATGACTATGTTACATTCATCCCGGAAGAGAGGGTGCTGGAAGATATGACTATGTTACATTCATCCGGGAAGAGAGGGTGCTGGAAGAGATGACTATGTTACATTCATCCTGGATGAGAGGGTGCTGGAAGCGATGACTATGTTACATTCATCCCGGATGAGAGGGTGCTGGAAGCAATGACAATGTTACATTCATCCCGGATGAGAGGGTGCTGGAAGAGATGACTATGTTACATTCATCCTGGATGAGAGGGTGCTGGAAGCGATGACTATGTTACATTCATCCCGGATGAGAGGGTGCTGGAAGAGATGACTATGTTACATTCATCCCGGATGAGAGGTTGCTGGAAGAGATGACTATGTTACATTCATCCCGGATTCGAGGTTGCTGGAAGAGATGACTATGTTACATTCATCCCGGAAGAGAGGGTGCTGGAAGCGATGACAATGTTACATTCATCCCGGATGAGAGGTTGCTGGAAGAGATGACCTTGTTACATGCATCCCGGATGAGAGGGTGCTGGAAGAGATGACTATGTTACATTCATCCCGGATGAGAGGTTGCTGGAAGATATGACTATGTTACATTCATCCTGGATGAGAGGGTGCTGGAAGAGATGACTATGTTACATTCATCCCGGAAGAGAGGGTGCTGGAAGCGATGACTTTGTTACATTCATCCCGGAAGAGAGGGTGCTGGAAGTGATGACTATGTTACATTCATCCCGGAAGAGATGGTGCTGGAAGATATGACTATGTTACATTCATCCCGGATGAGAGGGTGCTGGAAGAGATGACTATGTTACATTCATCCTGGATGAGAGGATGCTGGAAGAGATGACTTTGTTACATTCATCCCGGATGAGAGGTTGCTGGAAGAGATGACTATGTTACATTCATCCCGGATGAGAGGGTGCTGGAAGAGATGACTATGTTACATTCATCCTGGATGAGAGGGTGCTGGAAGCGATGACTATGTTACATTCATCCTGGATGAGAGGGTGCTGGAAGAGATGACTATGTTACATTCATCCCGGATGAGAGGTTGCTGGAAGAGATGACTATGTTACATTCATCCCGGATGAGAGGGTGCTGGAAGAGATGACTATGTTACATTCTTCCCGGAAAAGAGGGTGCTGGAAGTGATGACTATGTTACATTCATCCCGGAAGAGAGGTTGCAGGAAGCGATGACTATGTTACATTCTTCCCGGAAAAGAGGGTGCTGGAAGTGATGACTATGTTACATTCATCCCGGAAGAGAGGGTGCTGGAAGCGATGACTATGTTACATTCATCCCGGATGAGAGGGTGCTGGAAGCGATGACTATGTTACATTCATCCCGGATGAGAGGGTGCTTGAAGAGATGACTATGTTACATTCATCCCGGATGAGAGGGTGCTTGAAGTGATGACTATGTTACATTCATCCCGGATGAGAGGGTGCTGGAAGCGATGACTATGTTACATTCATCCTGGATGAGAGGGTGCTGGAAGCGATGACTATGTTACATTCATCCCGGATGAGAGGGTGCTGGAAGAGATGACTATGTTACATTCATCCTGGATGAGAGGGTGCTGGAAGAGATGACTATGTTACATTCATCCCGGATGAGAGGGTGCTGGAAGATATGACTATGTTACATTCATCCCGGAAGAGAGGGTGCTGGAAACGATGACAAATGGTCTTTTTCAACAATACCTTTAAGCTAGATGATCGGCTTGATTATCCACTTATATGGCGGAAACCTTTTTGTGTAGGGTCACATATTGTTGTTTGTAAGAGTATCTAACTCGTTAGAAACGTTTTGAAACAACTCGCTATGAGATACAGGGTATCTGACAGACACTTGTGTATTGATCTCTAGGTATTGCATATATAAACAAATGATATTGCTGTACCTGAGACTGCCACTGAAGATACATGACAGGAAGAGTCCAGGCAGACCTGGCAGGTGCCCCAAGATGTCCATCACAAACAGGGGCAGTAACTGCAATAGTCACAACATCACATTTCAGACACTACATAACTGATGCAGATACGTTGTTTTGAATTTGAGGTAGTCTTACTGTAAGAATGATATTTTATGGATTGATTATGGGGATCACAACATTTCGGAGTACATGCTTAATCCTTCATCGGGAGATCTGCCGTGAAAGGAAACTAAAAGTGGCCATTGACATCAGAAGACATCAGCCAGTCATGAACCGTGACAAGGGAACATATCTGTTTGAGAGGCATTACTTAGAAGTTGACGGATGACAAAGTAGGCATTACTTAGATGTTGACGGATGACACAGTAGCCATTTCTTAGAAGTTGACGGATGACAAAGTAGGCATTATTTAGAAGTTGACGGATGACACAGTAGGCATTACTTGGAAGTTGACGGATGACAAAATAGGCATTATTTAGAAGTTGATGGATGACAAAGTAGGCATTACTTAGAAGTTGACGGATGACACAGTAGGCATTACTTAGAAGTTGACGGATGACAAAGTAGGCATTACTTAGAAGTTGACGGATGACAAAGTAGGCATTACTTAGAAGTTGACGGATGACACAGTAGGCAATACTTAGAAGTTGATGGATGACAAAGTAGGCATTACTTAGAAGTTGACGGATGACACAGTAGGCAATACTTAGAAGTTGACGGATGACACAGTAGGCATTACTTAGAAGTTGACGGATGACAAAGTAGGCATTACTTAGAAGTTGATGGATGACAAAGTAGGCATTACTTAGAAGTTGACGGATGACAAAGTAGGCATTACTTAGAAGTTGACGGATGACAAAGTAGGCATTACTTAGAAGTTGACGGATGACACAGTAGGCAATACTTAGAAGTTGACGGATGACACAGTAGGCATTACTTAGAAGTTGACGGATGACACAGTAGGCATTACTTAGAAGTTGATGGATGACAAAGTAGGCATTACTTGGAAGTTGACGGATGACAAAATAGGCATTATTTAGAAGTTGATGGATGACAAAGTAGGCATTACTTAGAAGTTGACGGATGACACAGTAGGCATTACTTAGAAGTTGACGGATGACAAAGTAGGCATTACTTAGAAGTTGACGGATGACAAAGTAGGCATTACTTAGAAGTTGACGGATGACACAGTAGGCAATACTTAGAAGTTGATGGATGACAAAGTAGGCATTACTTAGAAGTTGACGGATGACACAGTAGGCAATACTTAGAAGTTGACGGATGACACAGTAGGCATTACTTAGAAGTTGACGGATGACAAAGTAGGCATTACTTAGAAGTTGATGGATGACAAAGTAGGCATTACTTAGAAGTTGACGGATGACAAAGTAGGCATTACTTAGAAGTTGACGGATGACAAAGTAGGCATTACTTAGAAGTTGACGGATGACACAGTAGGCAATACTTAGAAGTTGACGGATGACACAGTAGGCATTACTTAGAAGTTGACGGATGACAAAGTAGACACAATTCATGGATAACAATTTATGTATTTTACTGTAATGGCGACGTTATAGATCCTTATGCCGTGTTCAAGCAACGTCGCCATTACAAGAAAATAAAGAACTCGTTACCAATAATTGGTTTAATTGTCGCATTATCCCCATCAACGTCAAGTAATCCAGCTGGCTTCCACTTGCACTGTCCATTGCTAGTATCCTCTCAGCACTACATTACTGCTGGCTTCCTTTGTAAAGTGTCCACCTTTGTGATCTTATTACATTTGTTGTATTTACATGTACATACATCTGCTCTCTGCATCCTAGCATTTATGCACCTGATGGCGGAGTAAGCATTCATTCTGAAACGTTGTGTTCCTCATTATGAAGAAGTTGACATCCATCCATTCACTTTTTTATGTGTATCACTTTTTAAGGCCTCTCACAGAATTGAGTCTAAATGTAGATTACATATCGTGTATATAATTTGGAACCGAGCGCTCAAGCCTCCATGAAACAGAGTAGAAACAAGCGAATGCGACCTATTGCAGAATAGCAAAATGAAAACAGTTTCAAGGACTTGGTAAAAGTAAAATGCATGATGTTCGTGAAAAGTTAACACATGACAGGCAGACGGCATGATGGGTGTAGTGTAATGCAAGCAGCGTATAGAAAACGTACAGGAAAACTGTGAAAATACATTAGTGATGGGGTCACAACATACACGAGTGGAAACGAAAAAACTAGAACAGGACTGACGGATTGAGTGGAACTCAGACAGTCCTGGAACAGGGCGGACATAATGGGTGGAAATCAGACAGTCCTTGAACAGGGCGGACATATTGGGAGGCAATCACACAGTCCTGGAACAGGGCGGACATATTGGGAGGAAATCAGACAGTCCTGGAACAGGGCGGACATATTGGGAGGAAATCAGACAGTCCTGGAACAGGGCGGACATATTGGGAGGAAATCAGACAGTCCTGGAACTGGGCGGACATATTGGGAGGAAATCAAACCGTCCGGGAACAGGGCGGACATATTGGGAGGAAATCTCACAGTCCTGGAACAGAGCGGACATATTGGGAGGAAATCAGACAGTCCTGGAACAGGGCGGACATATTGGGAGGAAATCAGACAGTCCTGGAACAGGGCGGACATATTGGGAGGAAATCAGACAGTCCTGGAACAGGGCGGACATATTGGGAGGAAATCAGACAGTCCTGGAACAGGGCGGACATATTGGGTGGAAATCAAACCGTCCGGGAACAGGGCGGACATATTGGGAGGAAATCAGACAGTCCTGGAACAGAGCGGACATATTGGGTGGAAATCAAACCGTCCGGGAACAGGGCGGACATATTGGGAGGAAATCAGACAGTCCTGGAACAGAGCGGACATATTGGGAGGAAATCGGACAAGCCTGGAACAGGGCAGACATATTGCGAGGAAACCAGACAATCCGGGAACAGGGCGGATATATTGGGTGGAACTCAAACCGCCTCAGAACCCCCTGTGCTGTGCTGTAGTGCCCAGTAGACGCCAACACACTTAATACGAGTGGTTTGTAAGGTAGTACTATCTTGTCTCAGGAACCGTATGGGTCTAAAAATAAAGATTAAGATGGCCGCCATACTGATGTGTGTCATGATTAAAAGAAAGAGGACTGGGTCTTTGTCCCCAGACTGGAATCGAAAGTCACAAGTGTCAATATTCCTATTCATCATTAACTTGATATATTTGTACATCATTATGTTCATAGTCTATCAACCCGTGAAGATTCCGGGGTAGAATAGGTCTTCAGCAACCCATGCTTGCCGTAAAAGGTGACTCTGCTTATCGTAAAAGGCGACTAACGGGATCGGGTGGTCAGGCTCACTGACTTGGTTGATGCATGTCATCGATCCCAATTGCGTGGATCGATGCTCATGATATTAATCACTGGATTGTCTGGTCCAGACTCGATTATTTACAAACCGCCGACATATAGCTGGAATATTGCTGATTGCGGCGTTAAACAAAAAAGCAACCAATCATAGTCTATCAAGTTTATTGTTAGTCCTTGTGGTACATGTGTTATGCAAGTGCCCTTGAATCTGATCTGCACATGTAATTTCAATACACTAGTATATTATACATCACATCCCTATTTTACTGATGATATGCACTTTATAAACCATGTTTAAATTCTAAACATGTTTACAGGTGTTTAAATTCTAAACGTGTTAAACGGTTTTAAAATTCTAAACATGTTTGGAATTGGGGGTGTTGCGTTAAGGATGTGTTCAGCTGTCAGTTTGAGGTCATGTCATGTGTTTACACACGAAACGTATTGAGATAGACAACTCTAAATGCGCAAAACCCTTAGGATTGAAACTAGTTCCTAAACATGTATGTGTTTAATTCTTTTTTGTGTTAAAGTGCATTATTCTAAATAAGTAATATTTACTAATCGTCAGCATCTTCGCCCTATCTACCAGGCAGGATAGTATATTGGCTTTTTGAAAACCTTCTGGTCGCTGTCACTGTTAGAGCCGAATTTTAGGTATTTGTGGTTCATTGAGAATCCTTTTAATTAGAACTTTGTTAGGGTTTGTATGTGTACATGGATGCATGTGTTTAGTATAGTTATAAGATAAAACATTAGAAACAGCCAGCCCTTGCTGCCAGTGGCCATTTCAAGCTATTTTCCCAGGGGTTGGTGACAGCAATAGTATAATGTTGCAGCTAAGACTTTAAAGTTAATTGTTTTGTGTGGAGTCTTAGAGGTCGTGACCTGATCAACAGCGATAAGCATCCCACAAGAATTTCAGATATATAGTTGGACGAATGAGTGAGAAAGAGAGCAGAGAGTTTTAAGATACGAAAGAAGTAAGACATGTTTCTAAGAGAGTGTAAGAAGATTGTGTTAAGGGAATAGAGGACATACGGTTTTTCAACCTGTCCGAGCTACTGTCCGAGTTACTATCCTGCATTTATCCTGCAACTGTGCTGTTCATTATATTACGACTTATTCTTGGAGTGTGTGATATATTACTCAATCATTGTGTGGATATTCACTGAATTTATGGAATTATGTTATATGGAATTCGTGAAGTTTGAAATTAAAGACAATATTAAAGTGCTGGATCGAGTTGAAACTTTGATATCCTCTATCTCCATTAATTAGATAACTTAAGAGTTCACAGTCACTATTTAAGTTTGAAGAACTCACTAGGCTTGTTTCTCAGTGTGGCTGTGACGTCAATATTGATTAAAGATTCAGCGCCATATTGCTCTTTTTGTAATGAGGTTTGTTTGTTATCTAACAATAATAACAGTATTGATATATGTCTAAATATAGGCTATGTATATTCACCCGTAATTTTCAAGGGGAAAGTACAGGTTCCTTTGCTTGATGTCAAAATGCAAATTTCCGATCAATGAGGTAAACATTCTAATGCGATCCTTATTTTACTGTAAAGTAGTATCCCCGAGTAGTTCACCTCATCCGTCGTGCTGACGAGGTTGTACTGGAGGGGGTCACAGTCCTTGTAGAAGGCAAACAGAACTACCCCGACCATGCAGCACAGGCTGACAATGAGCACCAGCTGGGCCCCGCTGCACCACATCGCACTGCAAGACAAAGCAGGTTATCAGACAAATCAAGTCAGCTTTTTTTACATTCACTCTCAAAGGGCAATTCAATTAATTGAATCCTTCTTCAAGCATTGCAAATATTGTAAGTCCCTGTGGTCCCAAGTATGGTGATCTAACTTCAGTAGCTGGCGATCCATAGCCCGTCTTTATATTGTGTTGTTGACTGAATGTATATTTTGACATGCTCTTAAACTGGCTTTACGTACATCTGTAATATACTATTAAAAAAAAGAAACGCATAACCCGTATTTGCTGAGAAAATGTTGTATATTCAAACATGAATAACTTGGTAGGAAATGAACTTGAGTACATGAAATTTTACATCCGTTTAGGAGAGATCAATGTCTATACAATGATGTCCATAACTTGAGGTAAGGCATTCACAATATTCCTCAAACGTGAAGAGAGTATCAATATCTGTTGTGCCCACCACGTGCACGAATAACACTTCTCACACGCCTTGTCATGGACTGGATGAGACGCTGGATACCGGCCTGGGGAATCCTCCGCCACTCCTCCTGCAGAAATGCAGCTAGTGCCAGGAAAGTTTGGGGTTGATGTTGACGGTGACGGAGACGGGGATCAAGTTCATCCCACAGGTGCTCTATTGGGTTAAGATCCGGGGAACGGGACGGCCAGGGGAGCACGTTGACATTGTTAGCAGCGAGAAAGGTCATTGTGACACGTGCCGTGTGGGGCCGGGCGTTGTCCTGCTGGAAAATCTCACGTTGGACGTCAATGGCTGGCAGGAGGTGTGGTAGCAGGATGGTGTCTCTGTAGCGTACAGCCGTCAGGTTTCCCTGGACGTGGACAAGATCGGTACAATCAGTGTAGGATATTGCCGCCCACATCATCACACTCCCTCCACCAAATCTGTCCACTTGACGAACGCAGTTAGGGGCATAACGTTCATGAACACGTCTGTAGACCCGGTTCCCACTATCTCGTCTCTGCAACAGGAATCTGGACTCATCGCTAAACCAAATGCGTCGCCAGTTGCGAAGGTTCCAGGCAGTCACGTTGTTACACCAACGGAGACGATGAGCACGATGGTGACGACGTAGCACGTTCCCGACGTACGGTCTCCTGGCTCTCAGTCCATGTTCTCTCAGCCTGTTCCGTACAGTCTGGCCTGATATCCTCCTAAGTCCTGGCACCCTGGCCGCAGTGCTCTCACCCGTAGCAGTACGGTCACGCAAATGGAGGACCCGGATGTAGCGATCCTGGGCTGGTGTGGTGACTTTAGTTCTTCCTGTACGGGGACGGTCATTTGTTGTGCCTGTTTGGTTGTAGCGAGCTGTAAGCCGTGATATTGTGCTTTGGCTAACATTCAGACGTCGGGCAACAGAAGATTGGGACTCGCCAACCTGCAGTCTTCCAATGGCGATGTTCCTTGTGGCAGCATCAAGACGTGGCATGTTCATTTGGCTTGGAAACACCTTCTGAACGAATGCCTATTTCCGAAAGCAAGCTTGCTTTTTATTGCCAAACACTGCATGCTTTTCCTGCCCAATTTCAACGTGCAAGATGCCACTTGTTGCGTTGTGGCGATGCATTTCATACTCATTCTCAAAAAATCACATCAAAGTCAACATTTTCAAGAAAAATCGATTTGTTGCAAACGGAAGTGTGTCAATTGATGCGCTTACCAATATTGATACATATTTTGACGATAATATGAATACAATAGGTATTTATTTTCGTTTTGACATATCAGTAACAACTATGCGTTTCTTTTTTTTTTTTAATATCGTTTGAATATGTATTATTAATGTCAAATTTTGTTTCGTCACGATATGACTGAAATAGTACCCATGTGGCGTTAAATTTTAATTCACGTATTAGCTCAACCATTACAAGGATTTCAAGTGATGTAGCAGGAAACCAACAGAGTGTGCCTGGCGAAGGCCTGGGAGGCAGAAAGCTTCACTGCGTATATTAATACGTTCAGGACATGCTCGTACAAGCACATTATTAGTTATTCATTTACTTCCCAGTTAATGAAAACAGGTGTTGGTGATTGCTGAATAATGTTTGTTTATACGAAAGCATCCAGATGAAATGTCAAATGCATTCAGGATGCAACTGAAACTTGCAGTGCAACCTTATCACATTCCTCCAAATAACGAAATACCAAATTATCAACATGTCTTGCATATACATTCATATATACGAATTTCGTACATTCCACTTCATTGGCTAGTTGCTATTTCCATGTCAACTGGTGTGTCAAACATGTACTAACTGTGATTATGTTGTACCGTGTTGTACCGCGTTGTACAGTGTTGTACCGTGTTGTACCGTGTTGTACCGAAGCTCCCCACCTGAAGACACAGGTACGGGGTAAAACGTATTACCGTATCCTTTATTATGTGGGTCGATGTTTGGTAGTTTTTGTTGACACATCCCTGTTATAAAGTCGGAATAGTACAATGGTCTCTGTCGGCTTTCTGTCGAGCTTGCTGATGGTTATGGTCATGTTTTCGTTGTTAGATTTGCTCTACTACTGTATGTGGTGTAATAAAGGAGAATGTGGCCCTGTAACGCATTTATTTATCAAGATTCCCGTAATTCCTGCAAACCTACATCTGAGCTTTCTTTTGTGTTGGACAGGCGATGAGTCGTTGTACCTGACACTGGTTGACTGAATAGAAGGACATCCACATGATACCCCCACCAACAACAGCGGACCAGACTGACACTCGGGTACCAGGATCGACACTGAAGCTGAACAGCATTACCTCAGTTAGTTGTTCCAGATAGGTCTCTCATGATCAAACACACAAAACAGTAACAGACGAACACAGGAGTATGAAAGGCCCTCATTCGCAGGGGTCTCTTTATGTTGTATAATCTATCCAGAGAAAATGTCTTTAATATTATGTCTTTGTCATTTATTGAAATGGTTAATAATCTAAAAGTATATACTTCGTCTTACTTATCAAAATAGATCCTGGAGTTTGTACTTGCAATTTGCCACGCCCTGTCAAATCCTCCTAGGACGACAGAGCCTTGGATGACGACAGAGAGTAGACCAACTACCATCAACCCAGCCTGGAAACTGTCAGTCCACAGAACAGCTTTCATACCACCCTAACGGGACATACAATACAGACAAAGAGAGAAATAAAGTCAAGTAAAATTATGAATATTTCCTCATCAATTAAAATCCTAAACTTGTAAATTGTAAGTGAGTAAAAGAATAGATACCTGAGATGTTAAACATGTCTCTCAATTATTGTTAGTAACGCCCGAGTTAAGTTACAGTGTGTAGTGTACCAGTCGCTTTGCACGTTCGTTTGATAGTGACTCACTGGTTGATCAGTCCAATGTAACTCACCAACGTTGTATACACTGTGACCAAACACCCTATCGTGACAATCGACACCCACAACTCCATGCCAGTTACTGTAAGTTTAAATATCATATTAGTCACATGAGAAAATACATTGATATGTGCACTTGTACACGGCAGACATACAATGTAATGTTAAAATCAACATTTCATTTTAAGTTTTAATACAATCAGTAAATGAGCTATTGAGCAACTGGATTTTCTGGTCCACAGATCACTTGATTACAGGCCGCTGTCGCATGGCAGGAGAACCACAATGCGGCGCCAGGCAACAAACACTTACATGTTAATCAAATTGTGCGAGTGGCGGGTACTACCGGTAGGACATGTTTACCATTAACGCGAACACCCGGTGTCCTCACTGATTTTGAGTGATCTATTCAAATACTTTTCAGGGGCGTTCGGGTAGCCTAGTTGGTAAGCGTTCGCTCGTCACGCCGAAGACCCGGGTTCGATTCCCCACATGAGTACAATGTGTGAAGCCCATTTCTGGTGTCCTGCGCCGTGATATTGCTAGAATATTGCTAAAAAGTGGCGTAAAACCCTACTCACTCACTCATGTTCTTTTCATTTACGCCAGATGGAATCTGTTTTGGCAGGTGGTGTAGACTGATTATTCTCTGGCTATGATGTTTTATATATTCAATAGTTTTCATTTTCAGAGTTGCACGTGCAGTAATTACCAACCTGCTTTCAGAGCTAATGCAGGTGCGTACAACACAGTTCCCATGTAAAATATCTGCAAAGAAAAAAGGGAGCACCTTAAACACTGATGAGATTTAGGTAGACATCTTACTGAACTCAAGTCATATCTTAAAAAGCGGATAACAAAATGTATTATGATGCACATTTCTGATTGTTCTATTTGCAAGTAGCTGCTAGACCAGAGAACTGAAATACCACAAATTTGGAGTATTTGTGTGTGCGCATGCATATATACAGTTATTCGTTCACCTGATGAAGAAGTAAGCATAAGATCCGAAACGATGTGTTTCTCATTATAAAGATGTTGTATATATGTGTGCATGCGTGCGTGCGTGCTTGCGTGCGTGCGTACGTGCGTGCGTGTACTTCCACTAATTGTGCTTTTGAACCGAAACAACTCACTGTTTGAAATAACCAGCCAATGGTCACAGACGTCCTCACAGTTTTTCCAAAACGCTTTTCAATGTACTGAAATAAAAGCACAAGGAAAGGTATTTCTCGTCCAGCTTTTTAACTGTAACGTGTTTGAAGGTGGAACAAGTAAATGATGGGTACATCTCTAGATGACGATTGGATTTCACATAATATCAAGGTCATTTCTATTTATTTTGTGTCAGAGCCTTTTTACCATTTGGTGATCATTTTGACAATGTTGCCTCAGATAGGTGTTGATAAGTCTTGACAGCGGATGAATACGACCAAACGTAGCAAATGTAATAATTGTTCTTCAACACATTTGTGTAGGAAGTATTTTTAGAACAAAGATGAAAGGCAGTGACAGCAGACAAACCCCAAACATGCACAGCTAAGTAGTTATCACTGGGTAACATAATACGATGCTCAACATTACATGAACAACTGGATATATTATCTGATTGAAATCATGAGAACATATTTATGAAACAAATTTCAGAACAAGGATGGAAGGTTATTACTAAGTACGAAACCAAATATGTATGTTCTTATATCAGAAACGAATAAATATTCAAAGATCAATCTCGATACAAACGAGTGAAAGGTTGTGACATGCACACAGGTACCTCGTACACGCTGGTGATCCCAATGTTGTACAGCACAGGGTTGAACACATGCGCTGCTCCCGCCACTGCCAGCACCATCCCCAGGGCCAGCCACCAGAACATCGTGGTGTAGTTGTAGATCTCAGCCGGAAGTCCTAGCAAGGTCATGGAGGAGAGGAACGTCACAGCCAGGGACAAGGACACCGGAAGTACGCCCATACTTCTTCCTGCTACCAGATATTCAGCTGGATCTTGATCCTTCTTGTTTTTGAATGCAAAATATAGTCCAATAAATAACATGACAGAGAGTGTGCAGCCAAACACAGCAAAGTCCACCACTCCCAGGGTCTTGGCCTCTCCAGTCTGAGTGCTGTAGGACGTCTCCATGTTGTCTCTTCTATGACGCGGATTACAGTTCTATGTAAAAACAATACATAATGCTAAAAACGTTTAATCAAACAGTGTTTGTTCCACTTTGATGACATTATGTAGTTCTCTTGCAATAAATGAGACACATATTACCATTACATGATTGACTATTTGCGATCCTGTAGGAATCCATGCAAGTCAACCAACGTCACCGCTGTCTTTACGTTACCACTGTGAGCGTCTACTAACAACACGCGGGAAATATCTAATCAACTACTTCACTCAAAATAAATTAATGTGTTTTGTATGTGAAATTATATTTGCGATAAATATGCCAAATGTGCTGACAAGTGCAATGTGATGACACGGGTAATCACTAAAGTTGTGTAAAACATGTAGATCACATAACTGCGCATCTGGATATGTTAACGGGTACATTTGCATCTCCTAACACTGTAACATCCCTCTCACCCACGATACTAAAGAAAAAACTCTATTTACAGTCTATGCAGACAAAGTAGTGATTCGCTAAGTTATGAATATGAACTAAAATGACGGCAGAAATAATATGGTTTGTATAAATTGTGTTATACAACAGTATTCATAACTTGCACGTACCTCTAATACTTGCAATCACCAAATAATCACTGACATTTGTGATACAAGTCTCCATGCTAAGATCTCTCAGCGTGATATTGATTGCTCGCATGTTATCGGCAAGATCATTGATGGCCGAGCACAGGTCATTGTTAAGTCTGTTGCGCACAATACCAAAACCCAGGTCTACATGGCAAAACAGAAACTAAAGGGTCACCCCTCCAGAATATTTGTAACGGAGGACCTTACAAAGTATCGCCATGACTTGGTGAGAAAACTTCTAAATCTAAACAAGGCCACTTCATTGTATTCAATTTTGGACCCTTGATGGGAGAATCTTTGCTTGCAAAGAAAAAGGTGGAAAACAATTCATGATAAAAAAAACCACAACTGACATAAAAAAAATGTTAAATAATTAAAACTCAAATCAAGAACAAAACAAACTCTGAGATCTCACATCCATATCCAATTAATTTTGCTGATGAGACTCGAAAGTTGCAATATTATGTTTAATTATATATGAGATCGAGCTCTGTGCACCCATCGAGAGATATAGCTCTATATCTTTCTTTTATGTTACTCATGTCATTTTTCTAACACATTCATATGTGTTGACCACAACACAAACTGGGCACGTGTATTCCTAATGCTTACTATATGTATATGTTTATCACTGCACTTTATTTCATTTAGTTTGTCTGCTACTGTATATGTCATCACACTCACTCTTGTACTGTATGCACACACAAGTAGTTCACTGCATGTAAATACCCTTCATTTACTCATGTGTTAAGTGGTACAATGGTGCTCTACTTTTACAAGTTTTAATTGTAGAACTTTGAGATACTGTATCTGGTGTACGATTCATACTTGGAATAGAAAAATTAACTTCGATTCACATAACGTAAACAATAGCAAACCTGTCGGTGCCCTTGCCTGGATAATACCATTTCCTGTTTTAGCCAATGACTGATTTGAGTGCGTACAGAGCATCGATAGGTATGCATTACAACAAATGTTATTCAACTCACCTAAAAAAGGGGAAATTCCGCATTATCAATCAATCATCCACTGCCTACTTTAGTTGGTTATTCCATGGATGTTTTGAACACTTTCATTTATCCATCAGCTGTAGTCTTGTTCAAATATACCTCTGTTCGGGACAGTCTTTCACTAACTCCATATTATGCCAATCCTCATCTTACTTCTCAATATTGCAAGAGATGTCGAGCAAAATCCTGGCCTTGTTTCAGTAAACTCGCACAGTAAGGAAATATCCATATTTCACTTAAATGTAAGAAGTCTCAGATATAAACTACCTCGTATTTCTGAGCAAATCTCTGAATATGACATAGTATGTTTTACAGAGACACACCTTGATGATTCTGTAAGCACAAATGACATGAAAATAGGCCTTTATCATGCTCCCTATAGGAGGGATAGGAATTGTTTTGGTGGTGGTATTATTGTATATTTCTCGGCATTGTTGTACGTTTAACGTAGGGAAGATTTAGAATCATGCAATTATGAAAATATGTGTTTCGAGGTTTTCTTGCCTCAGAAGAGATTATTATTATGTGCGTGGTACAGACCACCTAACACCCCTGTGTTGTATTGGGATCAACTAGAACACTCACTTGAAACTGCTCTAGAGTATACGCCTTGCGTTGTTCTACTCGGTGATTTTAACGAAGATTTACTCAACGGCAACCTTCACCATCTGCATGATATCTTAGTTAGGAAGAGTTTACGTAATGTAATTAAAGAGCCGATAGCGTCACTCAGCATTCACAAGTTCTGCTTGACCCTATTGTTATCAGTGACGATTGTAATTGCATAGAGTCGGGTGTTGTCGACTTCAGCACGGATATAAGTGACCACAAGGGAGTTGTTGTTTCGCTAACGAACTGCATTGACATGAAAAAATCCTATGTCAGAGAGGTTCTAATTTATAAAGATGGTGACTATGCGAAGTAAAATGAATTGATTGAATCAACTGATTGGATGTGCATGTTTAATAGCTGCGAGTCTATTGATGAAATATGTGATATTTTTCTGTCCACATTTAAAAACTATGTAAGCTTATGCATACCAAGCCATGCTGTTACAATAAGGCCAAAAGATAAACCATGGTTTGATAGTGAACTAAGAAGAGAAATATGAATAAGAGATCGACTGAGAAAAAAAGACAGACGACCATGCAATGAACGCGATATATCTAAATATAGAAAACAAAGAAATAAAGTAAACAATTTGAAGAAAGCTGCCAAGGAAAACTTTTATCTTAACTTAGATGAATTATTATCAACACAAATCAAGGAAAACAATTCTAATTATTGGAAACTCCTACCTCACTTGATCAAAGAGCCTGGAGCCAGCACTGTGATCCCACCTCTGGTCACTAATATAAACACTGTAAATGAAGCATTTTCTGATCTTGATAAAGCTGAAGCTCTCAACGATTATTTTACGTCAGTTTCCAATGTTGAAGATGAAGGCGCCTCACTACCACCATTTGTTAAACTATGAGATCATAAATTGGGTTATACCGTTATTGAAAGTCAAGAAATAACAGATCTCTTAAAGTCCCTACCGGAGTAGTATAGACAATGACAGTTCTGGACCACTTTCACTGGAGCCAGATTTATATACCTATGCCGCCACTACAGAGGCATTTTTTTTATGTCAAAATGATGATGCGATTCAACGATCGTCATGATTCGTTTTAAAAGAATAATCAATATTAAATAATAATGGATAAAATTTACTATTGCCCACGAGGATATTGGAAAGGTATAGGAGCAATACAAAAATTAGCCACTGCGTCTAAGATATCTAAAGATGTGGCCAAGGATTGGCTAAAGAAACAAGCGATGTGGCAAATATACTTACCGGCACATTTTTACAACGAATGAAGTTCATCAGGCTGACCTCTTGTTTCTTCCCCATGAGAAGGTAAGACGCAAAATGTATCAATAGGCCTTAACTAACTAAACTGTTAACAAAGCACGATGTCGAAATCAGGCGTGGTGAAAAAGAGGCCCACCATAGCCAAACTATCGTTGAAGATTTAATTGGACATTAGCGGAATGTTTGTTTGGCTATCAGTATGGGATCAAAATTAAATTGGAACGATTAAGATCAAATGAATGGGTAACACAATTATCAGCTGTTGTGTCAGCGCAGAATAATAAAGTAACGAGATTGATCGGTAAAAAACCATCCGATGCGATTAAAATGAAATTTGTGACTTCCGAATCTTCAGCACCGAGGAAAGTTAAAGAACAAAAACTTCCGGATAGAGTAAGCATAAGATATCTATACCAGCCTGGTGAACTCGAAGGGGGCCAACATCGCGCAACCGATCCGATTTGGTCCCTTAAGATAGATAACATTAGTCGGTTGGTTATGAAAGAAGGAGAGCCTATTCTTTATTATCTTAAAGATGGAACGGGCAAGGAAGAGTTGCTCATAGTTCCCAACGATACAGTATTACCGCTTTAGGTTACCATAAGCATAGGTAGTTACACCATCATTATCAATCAATCTCTTTGTATCTAAGGGGGATAATGATGTCTTGTTCATTCTTTATCCATATATCCTGTGATTGACACTTCTTAAGTGTTCATCTCGTGTTTGAATGTTCTACCATTGAATAATGCTTCTTTATACTGTTCGTGTTTGACATGCTTTTTTACCACATACTTCTTAATGCCTTTAGCTTTTCTTATCTCTCCATTATCGGACTTCTTTATAGAATAGATCTTAGGTCCTAATCCGACATACTCCGCAATAGGGGTCCCAGCACATTCATCCTTCATCTTACCTAATACCTTTTTATTTACTACGCTGTGCAGTGGATTATCTTTTGGGTACATATCTATTTTTTCTGCCATATCTTTATATACATCCTCGGTTTGTATTTCCATCAACAAAGAATCTGTATCGGTATTTAACACCTGGCATCTATCGCCATATTGCTTCTTAAGTTCGTTGTAATAAAAGTCATACATTAAGTTTTTTGACAAGCCAAGACTACTCATACCAACGTACACCAGTCTGTTGAATTTTATATTACTTTTCTGGATATGCGGCGCCGTTAAGTCGTTATCAAATATCTATTAAAAGCCGGACTGGCTATAAGTTTCCTGAGTCTTTCTTCCTCATTAGATCTGACTAATTTAACATCAACACGCTTCCTTAGATTCTCCATAGTTTTACCAAATACTGAGTTATTCATGAGCTTATATAGGTTCTTTTCAAAATGGTTGGTAGCCATCTTTCTTAAATCTTTGTTCAGTCTTGTATAGGGTTCCATCCAAGGGCATTGATCAAATTTTAGAACTCTGTGTATTTTCTTTATTTTTATACCTAACGATAGATAGAACTGGAGATTTCAGTAGTGAACTATATATTTTGTC